CTTCAAACGAAACTACTTACTTCCATTTGGAAGTAAGCAGTGTCTTTGTCACACATAAGTATGTGTGACAAAGACACACAAATGACTGCTTGCAAAGCATACCTCAGTCTCCTGTCTTTACCACTTGCCCTTTGACCGAGTATCTAATTTGAAATGTCATGAAAAGCAACATACCTCCCATCGCGCATAGATCGTTCATAACATATAATTGTATATGCAATGTAAGAATTCATAATGTAACAATGTGTTGTATTGTTACAGTTGTTACTGTAATGAAAACTGTGAAATTAGTAGTAGTGTAAGATTTATATAATTAAAGATAGGTGACACTGCATGTTGTCAACTCACCCGGCCGGCCAGCGGTGGTTCTGGACCAGACGGATAAGGTCTGCCTCGGTGCCACTGTTAGGCAAATTGTAACATCTTGGCTGGAGTTGTACAAAAGTGGAAATTAAATAAATATAATAATATTAAAGTAAATTAAAAAAGGCACGGACGAATATGTCTGTGGAAAATTGTATTTAAAAAAAAAAGACATATGAGAGTGGTCCACGATTTTCCTTTATTCCTACCACAGATAATATAATATTACATATTCCTACTGAACTATAATTACACTTACGTGTAACAGGTGTGTACATACAAACTGTGAATATAGCGTATTACGTTTAGATGAAAGCCAGCTCTTTGTCCGGTACGTGTCACGTCCAAGGAGATTAAGACTAATGCTTTATTGTCATAAGCGTAAGCGTTTTTTTTTGCTTTGTCTATTTCTATTTAAATCTCATAGAAAACAGAGAATTCCGAGTCGCTTGTATGTGACATATGCAAACATATGAAATATAGGATCTGTCTACAAAATTATTTTTCCTAGATCTACGAGTTTAAGTATAAAAAAGATCTATCTATCTAAATACGTATATATATAAATAAGAGAAATAGTATGAGTCTGTGAATTTTTTTTTAATCATGTATTAGAATTTATCAGGCTATGATCTGATAACAAAAGAATATGCATATAATTTTTTAAAAAGAAATAAAACATTATTATATCATTACATTTGGCGTTCGATATTTGAAATTTGTAAATTTTATTTTTGATGAATACTAAATAGCTTACTTAAAACAATCATTAATATTTTTAGCCGCGTACTCGTGTTTCTGGCTATAGAGGTCTGCGCGGCTATACCTTCCAACTCAACTATGACAACAATCCTCCCGCGTCGTTAACCACTCAGCTCAGGTGATACAAGACACGGGCGTGATACTGGCTCCATCGTTTACAAAAAGATGTGCATATATATAAAAAAGTAAATTTAACTGTATCTCTGTATTACAATCGATGTTCGATATTTAAATTTATAAATTTCATTTTTATTGAACTCTTAATGGCTGTTTGCATATGTTATTATGCTGTTGTTGGTTGGCTGCTTGCATATATTATATTATTATAGTCGCGTTTCTGGCCACATTAGTCGTGGCCTTACAAAAACACGGCTATACCTTCCAACTCAACTATGACAACAATTCTCCCGCGTCGTTAATTACTCAGCTCAGGTGATACAAGACACGGGCGTGATACCGACTCCATAGTTTACAAAAAGATGTGCATATGAATAAAAAAGTAAATTTAACTATATCTCTGTACTACAATCGATGTTCGATATTTAAATTTATAAATTTCATTTTTATTGAACACTTAATGACTTTTTGCGAATGTTATTATATTATTTTAGTCGCGTTTCTGGTCACATTAGTCGTGGCCTTACAAAAACACGGCTATACCTTCCAACTCAACTATGACAACAATCCTCCCGCGTCGTTAATCACTCAGCTCAGGTGATACAAGACACGGGCGTGATGCGGGCTCCATCATTTACAAACGATAAGGGATTATTGTGACACAATTATGATGATCTATAGACCACTATAACATATGGTAGTACTCAGTTTCTAGCCTAGATTAGTGTATAAAGTATTTGTTTGTAGAAATGATTATAATGTGACAACTTAATATTATACAAACATATCCTGCGCAGAACACAGAGTAAACCCATTTTTAAAACTTTTTAACTACCTACTTAGTTGTATATTATATTTATATATCTACTATATAGTTTTTATTAACAGTTTTTGTAGCCTACTTATAGAAGGAAGATGTTTTAAAGATAATACTTGACATGTGCACAGTTAATTAAAATCTGATTAGTATATTTTATGGCCTGAGTATATATATGTATATATACATATTTGGGGAAAGGACATTGTTAGTAATGTGAACTGTTGACTCCATTGCTAGCAATGTCAGGTTATATTATAGTGGCTCCCCCTAGAAACTATCATGATAAATTTCTGATGAATATGTAATGATGTTAATTGACCTAACCTAATTCATATTAATTACTATACTCCACTGGTGCCCTGCCAGTGTAAACTGTTAGCGCAGACAGGTGCACCATGCCATTATAATGCATTAAAAAGAAACTCGTATATTCGTAATTCCCTTATAATACAAATGATCAAGATTATTCATTATATTATTATGTTAATTTTTAAAACAATTAAATAATTTTCAATGTTTCAAATTTTAAAATTCATCTCCCAATTATTACTTAAAAGTCTCTTGTTAAGTAATTAATGCAATTCAATTATAAAATAGTATAATAGTACATAGGAGTAAAATAATACATAATTTGAATTTGGAATTATGGCATTCGAAATTTCAAATTACCAACCAGTATTTGCATATGTTTAAAATTAATAAGTACGTATTTAAGTACAAACATTATTAATTTGAATTCTATATTCGAATTTTAAATAATTATTTTATAGGATATATTATGTTTTATTAAGATCGTATTAATCTATATTAGACTTAGATAACGTTGAGCAGGATATATTTTTACATGAAAACATTGAAAATATTTACTGTGAAAATTATCTTTACAAATTATACGACCTCGATGCTAAATATACTTCCTAAACCTTGTATTTATTACGTCTGACCTCATTCTAATGAAAAACCTTCTTTTAATTTGTTTTAAAAATATTCGTATAAACATTCAATATTTTCATAACCTTGCATGAAAATGTGTTATTAATATCATTAGTTTAGATTTTTTATGCTCGTTATTTTTATGTTATGAATACTGTGACGTTGTCTTGATGAAGTAACGTTTCGATTTTTGGCAGATTTCTTTTTTTTGGGTAACGACATTTTTGATGCTTCAATATTGATTCAATTCTGAATGAAGACGGTTTAAAGTTTTATTCTTATATACATTTGGTGTATGTGTATTTACCAAAGTATCTATTTTTGATTCCATGGCAGATGACTGACTGGTTATGGAAACTGACAATAAAAAAAACCCTGAACAATTCAGCATCATGTATTAACCGTAACTATGTACCATTTTAGATTGTCCTCCACGCAGTTCCCTCTGGCAACCATCGTGATAAATTAAAGGTGAAATTGCCATTGTAATTTATTAACACAGGCAAAAGAAAATACCTATTAACCTAAATAAGACATAGTAGAAAAGTCATATGACTTTCTAATATCCCCAGTCTTCAATGTTATATGATTCATTCAGTCTAAAGAAGCCTTTACACTAACAAATGTGTTGTTGTAAAGTTGCCAACTTATTCGTAATTCCATGGGTTTTAAACATAATTATAATGCAATGCCAACCAATACCACTAACAGTATTTTATTTACCGCGTCACCAGGTGTATGTTGATCCGTCATTGCTCTTTCCGCTGGAGAGTGAGTATGACGTCAGGTATCATGGTGAATTCAGTAGGAATTTCTGACGATGGTTTCCAGCTCAAACAACGAGGAGGTCAACCTGATATGGTACATTGCTAGTAATGGGATCATTGGCTCACATTACTAAGAGTCCCCTTCTTCCAAATAGGCAGAACTTATATTATGGGTACTAGACAAGTGATAGAAATATTTAAAAAGTTATCGTTTTGTAAATACATATTATCTTTACATAGTACAAAAATGTCACGTCCGCTGTCTGTTCGCGTAGATCTTTTAAACTACGCAACGGATTTTAATGCAGTATCTAGCAGTAGATAGAGTGATTCAAGAGGAAGGTTTATATGTATAATATATGTACACCCGTGCTAAGTCGTGATGGATAGGTAGTATATATCTTCTTATATATAAAATTCTCGTGTCACAAATGTTAGTTATCATTGTGCTCGGAAATGGCTTGACCAATTTTTATTAAATTTTATACGCGTATTCAGTAGATCTAAGATTCGGCTACTATCTATTTGTCATACCCCTAAGGAATAAGGGTTGTCCACCCCTAATATTTTATTATTTTTTGGACAATTTTTTTTTCATAATATGGTATTGAAACATACATAGATATAACCCCAAATTTTCACCCTTTTACCATCAAAGCCTATTTTTTTAGCGATTAAATTTTTATGGCAAAGAAATATTTACGGGGTCAGCTAGTATACATATATACATAGAAAATACCCAGACCGATACAACCAAACATACTCATATATACAAATAAATGCATCTTTGCGTAAATTAAATATTTTAGAGAAGTTGTCATATACACCAATACCACTAACATTATTTTATTTACCAGGTGTATGTTGATCCGTCATTGCTCTTTCCGCTGGAGAGTGAGTATGACGTCAGATATATATTGGTGAATTCAGTGTTTAATTTCTGACGATGGTTTCCAGCTCAAACAACGAGGAGGTCAACCTGATATGGTACATTGCTAGCAATGAGATGTAGCAATGAGAATGTAATTCTACGATAAATACGCAAATGAATAAGTGACTTAAGTCAAAGTAAATGTAAATATGTAAATGGACTCTCGTATTGAATACTGTGCAAACTGTAGATAGTAACAGATAACATGATGTCCACAGATATATATTGTTAGAGGACAGTTTCGCAAGTGTTTATATCCATCACTCATACCAGCGACAATATTGCATTATTAAATTATTATTATACATTTAATTATATTATAATAATGATTAATTCCTTTTTAAAGTCGGTGTTTGTTGTTTCTTTAATCATTTGTGTGTGCAAAGGTGATGAAGAAATTGGTAAGCAATAGTTTATTTATAACTGTTATGTACGTATATTTATAATTAGCTTTTGCCCGCGGCTTCGCTCGCGTTAATTTATCCTGTTAGAGGTGGAATTTATCAAAATCCTTAAGGGGGGGATATCTACGGCAGGGCTAGGGCATCTAGAGCAGGGGATGCCTACGTTATAGTAGCTTTATGCATGCAATATCTCAGCCCGATCGGTTTAAAATTGACAAAGTTTCATACAAATTTTCATCTCCTATTTTATCCCCTTGGGAGTAGAATTAATCAAAATCCTTTCCTAGCGGATGCCTACGTCATAACATCTATCTGCAAGCCAAATTACAGCCCGATCCGTCCAGTGGTTTGGGCTGTGCGTGGATAGATCACTACGTCAGTCACCTTTGAGGTATATATATTTAGATGAACCGTGAAAAAATGATAATACAAAACATTTGACATTCATAAGCGGCTAAACTGTCCAACATGAATAAATGGTCTTTGATTCGAATTTGATTTGATTTGAATTAAGTATTAACACAATAATTTATTTTTCAGTCTCCAAAGATTTATTCAACGAGCTGCCTTGTCTGTCTTTTGGCGGCAAATGTGTTCATGAGTCCGATTGTCCTGAGATAAGGCGAACTCAGGTGACTGGACTATGTCCAATACAGCAGCAGGATAATGTAGAATGTTGTTACTCAGATAATAAAAGAAACTCCAGTAAGTAATCTTCCTATATGCATACTTTTATTAATATTTAATTTCAATATAAAATATAGCCTGTATGTTAAATTCCGTTCTATAAAAATAAATGTTAAAATCAAAATCCGTTCAGTGGTTTTTTACGTGAAATAGTAACTAATTATCACTTGTGGTATAAAAAACAGATAACAGCCTACTGTTAGATATATACGTATAAAATTTCATCATAATCGGTTAAGCCATTTCGGAGAAGTATCACAATTTCCAAATCCAAAAAGAGTTTGGATGCACATATTCAAACTATGTTAAGGAAATAAGAAAATAAAAGCATATGAATTATTTGGTAAGAGGTAAGAAAGGAAAAAATGCGTAATTAATCTAGAAGTGTTCTCACTTTTAGATTTATTACGTTATTTTTCTTTCGTTTTGTTTGAAATATAAATATTTTAAAATATTTATGTCTTCTTTTCTTTCGTTTTATTTAAAATATAAAAATATTTTAAAAGTTGTCCTATTTTCCAGAATCCGCGAACAGTTGTCGTCGCAGCGGTGGCGAGTGTATTTCAAAGACCTCTCAATGTCCTGAATTTCTTTTACACCGGGAGGCAACGGACTGTTCTGAAGATGAGAACTGCTGTATATTAACTAATTAAATAATAAACCTAGAAAACAAATTAAAGAAAATATTTTCATTTAAATTGCTTATAGATAAGACTTCCCTACTCTTTTTTTTGTGGATGATAATGGAATGATGCTTCAGCTTCCGCTAGCGGTTTACTCTCTCGGAGTGGAGGATGTATGGGTGGAGCATGAAGTCAGATGGATTCCAAGGGGAACCTCGTGGAGGTCAACCTGACATCCAGTGATGTACTATAAAGTTCAGTTTTAATAGGTATTGCATCAATGATCAAGTTACTGAATTAATGACCCTAAAATATGATTAATAAAAAGAATTGAATGTACAACCAATACTTGTAGTAATACCACCAGTAATATTTTAAATTTGTAGCTAAATAACAGCAGATAATGAAAACATGAAGAGGACCTGTGTTGTGCAGAATTTTTTCCTCTGCAACTTTTATTTAAAACATTTTTTAATATTTCTTACCGTTATCGAGTTATTTTGAAAAAAGGTGTATTTCAACCTTTTTTTTTATTTTTTTATCCTTTTTCCGTTAATTTAAATCAAAATTTCTTTCTGAATATTATTACTCACGACCTTATTTTCATATATTCCGCCAAAACTAGTCACAACATGTTCAATTTAATTTTTTTAAGACCACACTCTACTAGCAATATAATATATCGAGTCTAAAGGTACATATTAGGAATTGACGACCTCGGTGGTATAGCAGTTTAGCACACCGCTTTACATCAGATGGTCGCGGGTTCGATTCCTCGCACGGCACAAACATTTGTATTCAAAAGTATGATTGTTTGTATCGGTCTAGGTGTTTTCTATGTAAAATATGTATGTACAAAAAAAAAATGATGTGTGGAGTACTCTACTTTATAAGTCGAGTAAAGTAATCAGAATAGAGATAAATCAATATATTACTACATTTTTTTTAAAGCATCATAACCTTTTATTCGTCGAATAAAACCTACTGGCCGGATAAATATTGCACCTACATATTTTATGTTCTTCCTCCCAATATAGACGAAGCATAAAAAAGAAATAGCCCCGTTGAGTTTTGTTTTCCCAATTCCAATCGGCAGTTATAGAGAAACAGTTCCGTGTTACACATACTGTTCAATCTTCTTTTATAAATTCAGTTCTTTATTTTTGTCACTAGATGGCGTTATACATTACTTACAACGGGATATGTTTTCGTTTTATAGTTATACATATAACTGTGGTAGACATTTTCTATGTAATCTCCGTCAGATCGATTCCCTGTACAATTCAAAGGAGGATCGAAATTAGGACCCCTAGCGGTTCCCTCAGACTAAAGTCGTATCCGTCAGGCGGGAGTTGCCCTTCATCCGCTTCACAAATTCTGCCCCGGGTTTGAAGTGCCATCAGGATTTGCCTCCTATCGTCTGAGTGTTTTCTATGTATATATATAAATATTAGTTATTTAATATTATGTATGTATTTACAAAAAAAAATGTATTTGTATCAGTTATCTAGTACCCATAACTGAAGCTTGTCTTCAGCTACCTTAACTTGGGTCTCGATGGCGCTGTGTGAATTGTGAATTATCAAAAAAAACACAGTTTATAAAGCAAGCTGCTTGGCGCCTAAGGTACCCACGCAAACCTCTTTTTACAAAGTCTACCTAAATTAGTTTTAATATGTACTCTATGATAGTGACAGAAGCTAGTGATTTATATTAATAAACTATAACTAAATTGCTCGTGGCTTTATATACTAACATAGTATAAATTTATATAAACATATATTTATATTCCTTGGACAGGACTCAGTAATTGACCTTGAGCGTAGACGGAGAAAACTTTGACCCTTGATCTCAATTATTCTCTATTAGGGAGAGGCAAAGGGATTATAGTTACACAGCTTAGTTAGTTCAATATACATATGCATTTAGTTTATTTACTTTATTATACCTAGAACTTAATTTCAAATCAAGTTTAATAATAGTGGAATAAAATTATTAAAAAAAATCTCTAATTTGTGAAGAATCTAATTATTGGACTTGGACACTATAATAGCCTCATCTGTTAGAAGTCCTGTAATTGGCCTCACAGATGATGCGTTAATGTCATTTCATCAGCTAACAGTTGAATATATTAATTGAATAAGGATTTTTTTTTCATATATCAAGTTTTTTATCAGCTAAAAATATTCAGTATATATAGCGCTCTATAAATCTTCCTCCACGATGATCGTTTATCTGAAAAAAAAAAAAACGGCGTTTTCATTTGTAGGCTTAAAAGCACGGAATGACCTATAATCAAATGAATATAAAAAAAATTGGATTTTTGATAGACATTTGAAATAAAAGTTGCAAATTAGGCGTTTTTTGTTTTTGTTTTCGATTGATAATAGTTCATTCCATGCGTTTACATATATTGAGTGTGCCCTGTAAATTTCAAGTAATTCGGTCCAGCCGTTTCTGAGATACAATGGAGGAAAGTTTGAAAAACACAGTTTTGAGAAAAACGCGTTTAAATTTTGTTAAAAACTATTAAAATATAACTTACTCTCAATCGGCGATCTGGTCCATAGAGTATTCCTTCCTCTTCCTCTTGAAATTTAAAGCAGATTGTTCAGCTCTTGAGTCAATCCTGGCTTGTTTAACGACATCTTACGCGCCGTGTAATATTCGCTTTTCATCCCGTTTCTATCACGACCAACAGGGCATCCCATAATCGACATAACTTTTAAAATAGCAGTTGAAAACCTTCATTAAAGATAATAACTGCTAAGTAGCTAGCAATTTCAACAATTTTGGGACCAGAATGAAGATGTTTAGGAGCGAAAGTCCAAATCAAAGAATTCAAAGATTCGTTATTGTTTTGTGTCTCTTGATATTCGTCTTTCGATAAACTTCGAAAACCGGTTTGATAGCTTGGACTTGCGGAATTAGAGGTGGTGTATCGTGATAAACAATACGCCAAACCAACTGTCTTCGCCTTCTGGACAAAATTGATGCTGAGGGTTTTCATCAGAAGAACATTTGTGATAGTAAAAGTATATATCTAGATGGCGTCGAATTTTAGAATTTTGCAATGATTTATCAGTAAGTTTACCTGCTCCTTTTTCCTATATATGTAGAAACGTGTCTAAACTTGTATAAACAAATATATTAATAGGGAGGCCAGGTATATAAGTACACAATAGGCCCGGTCTCTAACTTGCTCCGAACCGCTCTTTCTTTTACCTGCTGTATCTTTAAAACGACTTCGAATTTTCTAAAATCGCTTATTACCGTATTCTAGACAGACATGTTCAATTTATGAAAAAAAAAATCGATTTTTTCAAATAAATAATATATTAAATTCTATACGTGCGTTTATCACCAAAATGCTAAGACGACTATTACGACGACTGGACTGATTTTGATTAAAATTCTGTTCATATTTCAATGGGTTTCTCGTGAATATTGACCTGTTAGCAGTTGGTACTTTTCCAGAGCGGACGACGTCTCCAGGTTTGATACCATAAACAAGCAGTAGTGTGGTGATAAACAATAAACAACTAGAGTGATGACCCCAAAAGTCTATATTAATATTTATTTTATGATTTGTTACTTCCTATATATGCTAGTCCTTAAAGTATATAAGAAGTATTGTTATATTACAATATTAGGGTTTCTGAAATAAATAATAATTAATAATTACCCAGGGTAAATTTGAATCCATCATGGAAGAGAGCAACCCTACCGCTGTCTCTTGGATTATTTAGATTTTGGTTTGTTACTGGTATGTCCTTGACCAGAAGAAATAAATTAAAACACCATGTTTTTACTTTTAAATATCGATAAAACGTTTACATAACATAAATACAAAACTTAATTATTAAAAACAGGGGGAAAGGTGATTATTAGTAAAAGGGTCTATTGCTAATATATCATATTAGGTCGACCTCCACGTTATCCCTGGAAACTATCGTGGTTATCTGATTCTAATCTTATCATCCTCCACTGGTGCCCTGCCAACGCAAACCGTTAGCGCAGGTGGGTGCAGCATTCTATGAATCATGTAAAAAGACAAACCTAGTTATGAATAAGTAAATAGTGCCGCAATACTGACCACAGCAATGTCCCGCGTACACTACGCTACCAAGGAACAGGATATCGACTATATCCAGACCAATAAACTGACATTGAGGGTGACCCAGGAATGGAGTCACAACGCGAGCTTCAAGGCGTTCCTGGCCCGGGTCCCCACCTACATGCTGCCCACCTTCATGAAGAAGGACTACTGGCCCAAGCTGTTGATCTATCGGCGCCACCGTGGCAGTTTGCCGTCGTCAGTGCCGCGACCATAGAGACAATTTTGTTATTATATCTTATGTTAGTGTATAAGATATTTATAATATGGGCCATGTCTGAATTAAATAAATAAATAAAATTTGTACTATGCAATATCGATCCCGCATCATTGTCGCAAGTCTTACCGCTAAGCTACCGAAAAAACACGTTAATTAGTACACGTTTCGTATTTAATTACTATCAATATTGGCGTAATGAATACTGTATCGCCCGTATAATAAATACTTTTAAACAAACTGCAAACGATAAGAGACTTAATATGAATCAACACGTTGTCACTTACAATTCAGTATTGCTAAGTACTTACCGTCGGTTGGACGCGGCAGTTTAAATTAACAATGAAGTGTTTAATTGTTGTTTTATTATTCATAGGCGTGTGTTTGTGCGGCGATGATTGTGAGTAACATTTATATGTATACTAGCTGTTCCGACGTTGTTTTGTCATAGAAATTAAAATCGCTATTAAAAAATAGGGATTGGTGATAGAAGGGTGATAGTTTTGGGTTGTATGTATTATTTATTGCTACTGTAGGCGATTCCCACACATAAATATACAGTTTCATAAATTTATTTACTGTTATTTACAAATATTTATTACATACAATTATTTAATAATAATAATCTTAATTTTATATAAAAAGAAAAAAAAAGAAAAAAGTTTGTCGAAAAAATGTATAAAACATTTTTGTGGTGAGCCACTATTAACGCTTAGGGATATAAAATTAGTTATAAAACTGTTCTCAGATGTACTGAATATACATATAAAATTTCATCAAAATCGGTCAAGCGGTTTCGGAGGAGTGTAAATACGGACGGAACCTGTGACATGAGAATTTTATATATTAGAGTTTTATGTAAGTTCGTCTCATCTGGAAAGCAATCCGAACTGACGGTATATTTGACACATCATAAGGGTCTGTAATAAAATTAATCCTACATGAATAAAGATTGATGATTTGATACAAAAATTGCAGGGAAGTATTTTTTGTACCCTTTTTTGCACGTTAAACAAATAAAAAAACAGAATTAATATAGTATGTAGTTACTAAAAGATATCTTATCGCTTAAGCTTAAAGTCTCTTTTAGGCAACCTTTGGGTAGAAAAGAGAAAGACAGAATGTGGTAAATAGTAGACGAATGAATTAAAAAAACATAAATATAAGTAACTCAACTTTAGGTGTCATACCAAAAAAGGTACATCAATCTATACATACCCTATACTTGCCATCTAGTATATACTACCAACAGGGCTGTAATTTTAAATACATTCTAGAAAATTCCTTTAAACGGATTAGTCCTATATTTATAGAAATAGAAATATTCTTCAAATAATATTCTATTACAAGCACTTTTGAATGGTCATGTTTTTGATTCTACCACTCATTCGGAATGCAGATTCATCACAAGAACAATGAGCAAGAAACTTGTGTGTTGCTCTTTTGAATAAATGTTTCTTTTATATATATGAATAGTTACAGTATAACAAGAAAGAGGCATGCGATAATCAATATAGAAACCGCTATGCACTCATAGACTCACAGACTCATAGATTTTGACATAAAAATACAACATTGTTATGTACTATATTATGTACTTGGCTTAGGTCCATACATAGCAAAGATATCTGTGAAAACTGAGAAGAAAAATAAAAAAAAAATGAAAAGTGTGATATACACCAAAATGCGTAATAAACCACCTAAAGCTATGGAAATATAGAAAATGATAATAATAAATTAGAACTAACAATATAATTAATAAACGGCCCACTTTCTAACCTAAATGATAGTGAATTAGCCAATTTACCAACATTAAGCGAACGCTGAATAATTGTCAAGTAATTATTGAATTTGCATACTAATGTAATTAGATCACGTAGGTCACGTTTTGATATATGTTATTTAACTTTTATGATTTTATTTATTTTCTAAATTTTAAAACTGATGTCACCGAATTGTGACATTTTTTTTTTAAATTCTAATGCTGTTGGTCTATACAGCTTAACGAAAACGAGTGTAGATGGCATTTCAAACCCGTGGATGGACTTATAGCGGTTGAAGGCCAATTCCATTTGAAGGCCAACTCGACGGATACGATTGTAGTGTGGGGACACCGTTAGGAGTTAGATCCTTGGCTCAGACCGAACGATAGGAGGCGAGTGCCGATGGTACTCCAAATCCACTGAAGTACTCAAAGAGCGATTAAAGGCCAACTCCTTACTGAGAGATACTACTTTAGTTTTTAGGGCACCGCTGGTAATTTGATCCTTGGTTTAGACCGAACGTTAGGGGAGGAGTGCAGATGAAACTCCAAACTCGCGGTAGGACTTATGGAGCGGTAAGAAATAGAAATAATCTTTATTCAAATAAACTCATTACAAGCACTTTTGAATAGTCATATTTTGATTCTACCACTCATTCGGAAAGCAGATTCATCACAAGAAGAATGAGCAAGAAACTTGTGTGTTGCTCTTTTTAATAGATGTTTTTTTTTATATAAATAATTACAGTGTAACAAGTAAGAGGCATGCGACAATCAACATAGAAATCGCTACGCACTCATTATTAGTGTAATCAGATAATATTGTCAGTGCTATGTATTTAAAATTTTTCTACAAAAACATTATTATCGTTAACGAATTCGTCAATTTTATAGTAAGCTTTTGTTTGAAGGCTAACTCCTTACTAACGGATACTACTTTAGTTTTTAGGCCACCGCTAGGAGCTCGATCCTTGGCTCAGACCGAACGGTAGGAGGCGAGTGCAGATGGCCCTCCAAACCCTCGGATGGACTTATGGAGCGGCTGAAGGCCAACTTCTGCCTGATTAATATGACTTTAGGGCATCGATCCTCGGGTCAGGCCATGTAATTTCAATCCCTGTTTGTGATTGTGTAACTAGGCATGTATAGAGTCGGTCACATGTCTATAATTTTACGATTTTCAATTAACTTATAATTATTACGAATTCTATAGAAGCTTTGGTCTTTGAAATACGGTCCACTTTCGCTTGTTCTAAATATTATTTTGCAAAGAATTAAAATAAAGTGTTCGCTACTATACTGGAACTATCTTCATGCGATCATTTCCTTTTATAATATAAAATTATTATCATTGAATATAAAAAGAGTTTTTTTTTAATGTCTAATCCTACACTATGTGTATATAAAATTAATGGAGCATAGGAAACCGTTATAACGTGCAAAACAAACAAACAAACTCACTTTTGCATTTATAATATTTGTTTCGATGCGGAAATTAGACGGCACACTATATATGACCAATCCATTATAATCAGAGCGCCAACGTAAGCAATTATATATTTCAATATATACATACAATTAAAAATTACTATATTGTAAAATGAAATGCATGAAATTAAATGTTATCAGAATATTAAAATGTAAAAAATAATAATATATGACCAAGTATCGGATTGCAAATAACAATGCCCTCGGATAGAGACGATAAGAAGTTAAATATTTATCACGTTCTGTATATAAAATGTTTATTATTGTCAGTTCTGATATTATCTTTTTCACTGTGTAAAATAATATTTTTTTTATTACTGTGCACTAAACGATTTTTAAATATACTCATTTGAATGATTATTCACTTTTGTTAAAATGACAAATAATAATTTACATTGAAGTATTCCATACTAAATTACTTACCAGACCGTTAATACGATACGGATATAAAAAAATATATTTTCCATACTATTACACACTATTACATACTATTTTTTAAAAGATCCATTAATTTATCTCTTGATTGTTATAAATACCCTTTACAGGGAATCTTCTGCAAACTTAAATTTATATAATAAAGTATTTGTTATGTAAATGCTCGTAACAAGTAATACACGACCGCCAAATACTAGACTAATGCCACAAAAGTTCGTCTCATTTATTATCCTAGCCTAGATAGTTAGTATGTGATTAATGACCTCATTGCTAGCAATATACCATGCGATTTTCTCTGGAAACCATCCTGAGAAGTTTATTGTGAATTTATCACTATGGGCTAACTGACCTGACCTCATGCTCATCTTATCACCCTCCACTCGTGCCCCGTCTGCGTAAACCGTTAGCGCAAGCAATTCATTATCATCCATAAAAAACAGACATTTAATAATTTAGCAGTCGGCTCCTGGACTACAAACGCAGTTCATTGACAAACTGACATTCGTATACAAAGCATGTATTCCTATTGTTACATCTATACTCTGATGTAATGATTGCATTGTACTTATTCATTGTATGAAGATAAGGCACCGTTGCCATCCACCACCAGAAAACATTTTTTTTTATATTGGAACTTTTGGACTATTGTCAGGTCCTAAGACTTGTAACACCGCGACCTGCATAGAACTATTGTGATCGGCCTGTCAAGAAAAAAAAAACTACTAAACTACTACACATTTTTAGACTTTGTATATAAAAAAAGTACATACTATGTGTAAGGTATGTCGTGGTCAAGAGGTTACTATCATAAATAACATCGATATGCGGTAAATTCGAATCTGGCAGGTACAAAACTTTGTTCAACTGACTCTCTGATGACTTAAACACCGATTACAATACAAAATAAATACGAGAATAGGCGGTATGATCTCTTCAATGCGGTCGCCTCTAGAACCATAGAAACCTTCCAGAAAAAAACTTATTCCTTCTCAAAAAGCCTGCAACGCACTTGCAATTTCCCTGTTGAGTTGCGGCTCACCAGGGAAATTGCAAATTCGTTGTATGCCATATAAAAAAAATGCTCCGTAATTTCTGGTTAATTCGCCACTTTGGACTAACTGGCCTGACTTCACACTCATTATATTAGCCTCCACTGGTGCCCCGTCAGCGTAAACTATTATTGTAGGCGGAAGCATATCATCTATCACTGGTGTTCTAGTATCATTTACCATGCTTGCAGGAGAACCATTCTATTATCATCCATTAAAAAAGTGGTATATTTTGAACCAGTGTTAATATAGGTAGATCATCTAACTGACCTGACCTCATGCTTATCTTATCATCCTACACTGGTGCCCCGCCAGTGTATACCGTTAGCACAGGCGAGCGCACCCTTCCCTTATTATCTACTAGCTGACACCTCGAACAGCCGTTCAGCCGTTTGTATGAAACGAGAATTGTTGTTTTTTACTGCTTTACATGTAATTTATTCATATTTTATCCATTTGAACCTTCCCTGGACTTCCACGAATATTTCAAGACTAAAATAAGTCAAATCGGTTCAGCCGTTCTCAAGTTTTAGCCAGACTAACGAACAGCAATTGATTTTTATATATTGACTAGCTTTTGCCCGTGGCTTCGCTCGCGTTAATTTATACCCTTAAGGGTGGAATTTATCAAAATCCTTTCTTAGGGGATGCCTACGTCATAGTAGCTTTGTACAAGCAAAGTCTAAAGCTGATCAGTTTAAAATTGACGCTCGCGTTAATTTATTGCCTTAAGGGGTGGAATTTATCAAAATCCTTTCTTAGGGTATGCCTACGTCATAGTAGCTTTGTACAAGCAAAGTCTAAAGCCGATCAGTTTAAAATTGACAAAGTTTCATACAAACTTTCAACCCCTATTCTATCCCCTTGGAGGTAGAATTAATCAAAATTATTTCTTAGCGGATGCCTACGTCATAACATCTACCTGCATGCCAAATTTCAGGCCGATCCGTCCGGTGGTTGGGGCTGTGCGTTGATAGATCACTATGTCAGTCACCTTTGAGTTATATATGTTTAGATTTAAAATACATACAAATGCAGGTCATAAATAAATCCTAATATATGTTATAGTTTCCAGAATCGATTCAATTAGGCAAGAGAGTCCTTGTTCCAGTGCTGGTGGAATATGCACAATAGCTGATGACTGCCCCAAGGGCAGACTGGCAGAGCAACGAGGACTATGTCCTGAACAGAGAAGTGTTGGAGTCGAATGCTGTTATGGAGGTAATAATAATAATAGTCCAAAACAATTCACTCAGCGCCATCTAGTCCAAAGCTAAGCAGAGATTGTATTATGTTACAAGCACAACTGATACAAATAATTAAATACATTTGTTTTATAAATACACACATAATATATGTATTTAGACGGCCTCGGTGGTCTAGCGGTTCAGCACATCGCTTTACTTCCGATGGTTGCGGGTTCGATTTTTATTTTTAAATATACACATAATATACATAAACACCCGTGAATAACATAAAATACATGAATATTATCTTGAATACAAACGTTTTTACCGTCTTAATCGAACCTATGAACATTGAAAGTAAGATAAGCTAAACCGCTGGATCACCGAGTAATATACATAGAAAATACCCAATAATAATAATAATAATCTCATAAATACAAATGTCTCTACCGTGCGAGGAATCAAACCCGTGAACATCGGAAGGAAAGTGTTAAACCGCTAGACCTCTAAGACTGGCAATACTATTTTTCTGTTAAAACATCTTTCGTCTCCTTTCTTTCCAGTGTCCGTGAAAGAGACAAGGTGTAGCAAGCAGGGAGGTAGTTGCATCGCCCCTGACGATTACTGCAATCCACGCCTTATCTTCTCGAGAGCTACGGACTGTCCGGATAATTACAAATGTTGTGTTCTTGTATAATAAAATGTCTAATTTATAATTTGTTTTAATTGTCTTTAGAACACGCTTAATCCAATTAATATTTATCTTGATGGATAGTACTGTACAGTAACGATAATAATATCTCAGAGAAATTCACACAGCGTCATCTAGTTCCAATATAATATAGCTATAACTTGAGGTGTAGGTACTAGATAATTGATACAATGGCATAGATATATATTTTTTTGTAATATTATACATAAAAAACATCCAGACAGATACAAACAATATCATGCACGAATATAAATGTTTGTATTGTGAGAGGAATCAAACTCACGACCTTCGGAAGTAAGATCGCAGTGGTGGTCCAGCGCCACCGAGGCCACTGTTCACATGAAGAAGAGCATGAAACTTCTGTCAAAAAAAATCATTAAAATCCTATAGGCAACCTAAATCGATACTCTAAATATATTAATTGAGGTTAACGTGTATAAAAAAACATATAATATATGTTTATAACGTAATAGCTAGTAAAAAATAGCAGAACAAAGTAGAGAAAGAATTATTGTTTAATTAAAAAAAATATGATATTGCAGATAAAGTATTATGGTATTAAGTCCGCTATATGTACACATTGTTTCTGTGCATTAAAGTTAAATAAATTAAATAAAAAATAAATAAAGTAAAATATAGCAGAACTAAACAAGGAGAGACTGATCTATTCGAGTTACAGCCACTGATTCATTATTGCCTCCTGACAAAACCAATACATACTCATTCTATAATTGAATTTAAAAAATGAATCTGTACTTTTGTAATCATATACAAACTCATTTGAAAAGAATAAGAGCTGAGTTTCTCGTCAGTTCTTCTTAGCTGGAAAGCACTCCGAACTGGTAGATTTGGTATATCAGAAGAGTCTGTGATAGATATACATGAATATATCTTGATTTGACTAAAGAAAAAGACATAAAGATTTGTATATGTACGAGTACCTACATATATGTATGTATGTATATATAAATATATATGTATTATATGAAATCATTACTGTTCTCATTTTAATGAAAATAAATGAACCTGCTCACTAACATAAACACAAGTAAACCGGCACGGCCTCACGAAATTCCGGTTCAAAGCCCAGTAATTACTGATTATTAAAATAGAAATTTTAATTAACTCCGCCACTGGCGTTCAAGTATGGGGATTATTGAAACAAAATTTTCAGTGAAAACATTAATTTTATATGAGCCATCATTTTATTTATCTATATTAAATACTTATATTATGTATAAAGACAGAGAGAGAGCATATTTCGTTATGAGGAGAATAAACTGTACAGTACAGTACGAAGCTATAATGGTGTAAATCGAATTCAAATAATAGTTTTTGGAGTACTCTATTGCTGTTGGCCGCAACTACCCTTTACAACTTCATCGGATGATAGGGGGTAAGTGCAGATGGCACTCCAAACCCGCGGAAGGACTTATGGAGCGGCTGAAGGCCAACTACCGCCTGACGGATACGACTTTAGTCTGGGTATTGCTAGGGCTTCGAACCTCAGCTCAGGCCTTCGTAATTTCGATCCCAGTTTTAAATTGTACGGGGAATCAATCGGAAGGGATTGGGCGGGGTCAATCAAAGGTCAAATAATAGAGAGCACAGTGTTCATACTTAAAGGAAAGCGAAACAAGTAAACTCAGTCTAATACAAACAATCATACTCATGAATACAAACATTAGCATCGTGCGAGTAACGAACCAGCGCTATTGGTAGTATGCTGGACTGGTGTACCACTAGATCACGGTGACCGTCATAATGTTACATACATTGAGGGATGGCCATTTTGTTTCAGCTTAATTAGAATATAGACCGTTATTGCATCCCATTTGGAGTACACCGAGTAATCAGGCTATGGATGTAAAACAACCAACCGTTGCTAATTGGCGTGTCACTGTCGAATTAGTGAACCCAGACAGAATCACGCCTGTGGGTATCTGGTTATTGTGTAGTTACCTTATTTGTGTATTTATTTATCAGGCAACTTTATTTGTTTAAACAAATATACTGACAATATGACGGCTCTCGGTGATCTAGCGGTTTAGCACAGCGCTTCACTTTTGACGGTCGCGAGTTCGTTTCATAGCATGGTGCAAACATTTGTATCCATGAGTATAATTTTATGTACTGGTTTGGATGTATTCTATGTATGTTTTTACCAAAAAAAAACTATGTATTTGTGTCAGTTATCCAATACCCATAGCACAAGCTTCAGCTAACTTAACTTATATAGATGGCGCTGTGTGATTTGTCCTGAGCTTATTATTATTATGAATTCTTTCCATTGAGTATGATAAGCAAATTATACAAATATATTTCTTCCCCTTCGATCGATTCCCCGTCCAATTCAAACGGGGATCGAAATTACAATGGTCTGAGTCGAGGTCAGGCGGGAGTTGGCCTTTACCCGCTCTAAGTCCTTTCGCGGGTTTGAAGTGCAATTTGCATTCACCCCCTATCGTCCGATAAGGCCGTAAGGGTCAGCCGCGGCGAACAGTATTAGAGTAGTCCGAAAAAAAATGTTTTCATGATGACTGACCGTTATGGAGAAGACAGAGAAGTTCCAAATTTAAAAAATGGACATAATTTCAGGTCAATCAACCACTCCGCCGTAACGGTCTCTCTTTTATTACTTATTACATATAACTATATTACATTTCTCACAGTGACGTATTCTCCACAATATTCTTATAAGAAAACGATTTCGCGTTTCACTTACTCAGCTTGTGGTAAGCTTATAACCAATTACGGGAATATTTCTAGATTTATTCAACCATAATGGAACATATTGCTAGCTAATGGTATTGTTATGTACCGGTTATATTATGCTGGCTTTAAGTTCGCTTTTATGAGAATTGGTATATTAAAATAGTGGTTTCATAACTAGACTGACAAATTAATTAAAAGACCACCTGACGGTAATTGGTGATGGTCGTATGTATAATGTGTAACATTGTTTGTCCGGGACGGACTCCTGAACTACTGAACCGATTGCAAATTTGATTTGCACATTGTGTGAGATTTAATCCAACTTGAAAGATAGGATAGCTTATATTCAATTTATAGTCACAATATTATTTTATTCAAGAATCTTACAGCAACTCGTGACCATCTCTACTAGTATATATATAAACACGACTGCGGATATCACGTCATTAAATGATGCCAGCAGCATTTGCTACGAGGATTTAGGCATCAAGGAGTTTTTCATTAATCTTGGACTAAAGAGCATTCCAAATGAATGAAAGATTAAAAAAACTATATACTTAGATAGAGTGCATACATTGACTATTCATTTAATATACGATCTCGGTGTTCTAGCGGTTTAGCAGCCTTACTCCTTATGGTCGCGAGTTCGATTCCTCAAACGGTACAAACATTAGTGTTTTATCGGTATGAATATTTTGTATATATATTATGTACTCACAATGTATATAATATCAGTTGTTTGTCATAACACAATCTCTGCTTAGCTTAGGACTAGATTGCACTGTGTGAATTTTCCAGGATTATTATTATTATCTTGTAAAACAAGCTGTTGTCTAAATAAATGGCAAATATTTAAATATAGCAATTTAATTAATATTAGTTTTAGTTGTGGAGTACCAATAATACAAGTTCCACATAGCTTGCCACTATATGGCGCTGTGTAAATTTCCAGGATTATTATTATTATCTTGTAAAACAAGCTTGTCTGAATAAATGGAGAATACTTAAAAATAGCAATTTCATTCATCTTTATATTAGTTGCTGAGTACCAATAATACAAGTTTCACATAGCTCGGCACTAGATGGCGTTGTGTGAATTTCCAGGGTGGCAATCATTATCTTGTAAAACAAGCTGTTGTCTGAATAAATGGAGAATATTTAAATATAGCAATTTCATTAATCTTTATATGAGTTGTTGGGTACCAATAATACAAGTTCCACATAGCTTGGCACTAGATGGCGCATTGTGAATTTCCAGGGTTATTATCATTATCTTGTAAAACAAGCTGTTGTCTGAATAAATGGAGAATATTTAAAAATAGCAATTTAATTAATATTTATATTAGTTGTTGAGTACCAATAATACAAGTTCTTCTTAGCTTAGCACTAGATGGCGCTGTGTGAATTTCCAGGGTTATTATCATTATCTTGTAAAACAAGCTGTTGTCTGAATAAACGGCGAATATTTAAATATAGCAATTTAATTAAAATTTATATTAGTTGTTGAGTACCAAGAATACAAGTTCCACTTAGGTTGGCACTAGATGGCGTTGTGTGAATTTCCAGGGTAGCAATCATTATCTTGTAAAACAAGCTGTTGTCTGAATAAATGGAGAATATTTAAAAATAGCAATTTAATTAATCTTCGTATTACAAGAAAGATGTCTCCAATTTCCCGTCGTACTTATATTACTTACTAAACTTTGGCAATTGTTAAAGTTTTCACTTCCTCCTCGGATTGCTTCCAATGTAAGTACTTTGACTTGAAAAATCTGTTTATTTCGAAGATATTGGCGGATAAATCTTAGCTGTTTTGTGTACTTCGGATATTAATGGCGGAATGTTGCCATCTTTATCCTGTTACAGAAAGGCATATCAGTTCTTGTAACTAATAAATGTTTGTATTCGATGACTATTACAATGTATATCTGTCGTACATGTTATTTTCTATCTCTCTCTTACACGCATACACTTTAGTCTTAATCACCGAACCAAGATGTTTTCTGGTTTAAGATGTAGCAGTGAAATGACAGGATACTTTAGCTTAACACCTTAGTTTTCTGGAGTGAAAATAAAGCCTCGCGTAATTTGGTAACTAAATAATTTACTAAATTGGGTCACTTTCACAGTCACAGAGACCTAATTATTTTAAATAATTCACTAATTCATAGCATATTATGTTCGTTTCTAATTTTATTATATTGTAATTGCAATAATTGTAAATTGTAAGAAGAGGGAACTGTTTCCTAAACGACAGATTTCTACTGAAT